ATAATATAGTTGCACTATTTGTGTCCCTTCTCTTTCTAATTCTTTGACGTTCTTCTCTCTCACGCTAGGAATCCATTCCATGCCCATCTTGATGTTCCAGAACAAAACGGACACCAAGTTTGTGAAAGTCTTGGCCGACTTCCCCGCAATGCCAGCCGTGAGTGCGTGCGCGCACCTTCAGTGGGACCAGCAAGCCACTGAGATCTCCACTATCTTCTCTTATGCTGTCTCGGCCTTCATCAACGAGTTCCAGCTGCGTGGATTCAAGGACGAGGACGGCTTCGTCCGCTTCGCCGTCATCCTCCACGGGCACCACTCCCCGTACCTGCCAGTGTTCCGGGCCGACGGGCAGTGGCACCACTTTTGCGTTGTGTGGCAACAGCGCAACGGAACGTGGGCCATCTATTCTGACGGGAAGGAGAAGGCCTCAGCCACGGGGCTCTCCACGTCCCACACCGTCAACGCGCATGGGACCTTCATCATCGGGCAGGACCAGGACTCCCTCGGAGGGGCTTTCAAGGAGAAGGAGTCCTTCAGCGGGAACCTCACCGGCCTCCACGTCTGGCACCGCGTCCTCACCAAGGAGCAAGTGGAGAAGGTGCGCTCCTGCGTCCCCATCGCCGAAGGGCTGGTGTTCGGCTGGAGCCGCGAGATCCTCGAGGTGGAAGCGAGTGTCGAGGAAGCCACAGTGCAGCTCACTTGCCCAGGTGAGCCTCACGCGCGCATGGCTGTGCTTGTGCAAATGGCCTCTCCTTGGTCTGTGGGATCTAGATTGATGAACATCCAAACCTGTTGCCCTCTCTCTCGACATATTTATTATTATCATTATTATTATTTAACATTCCAGCTTTTTCATTTTTTAGATGCTTTTTATTATAGTTTTTGGTAGCAATACATCAATTGGATGTTAATCACTGACATATCGGTTATATCTTAAAATCTAGGGAGGGGGGGTATGGGGAGGGTAAGGAGAGGGGGGTACCTGTCTAGAATCGTAGAATCCTAGAGTTGGAAGAGACTTCCTGGGCCCTCATCCAGTCCCACCCCATTCTGCCAAGAAGCAGGAATATTGCATTCAAAGCACCCCTGACAGATGGCCATCCAGCCTCTGCTTAAAAGCTTCCAAAGAAGGAGCCTCCACCACACTCCGGGGCAGAGAGTTCCACTGCTGAACGGCTCTCACAGTCAGGAAGTTCTTCCTCATGTTCAGATGGAATCTCCTCTCTTGTAGTTTGAAGCCATTGTTCCCTTGCGTCGTAGTCTCCAAGGAAGCAGAAAACAAGCTTGCTCCCTCCTCCTCCCTGTGGCTTCCTCTCACATATTTATACATGGCTATCATATCTCCTCTCAGCCTTCTCTTCTTCAGGCTAAACATGCCCAGCTCCTTAAGCCGCTCCTCATAGGGCTTGTTCTTCAGACCCTTGATCTCCTCCCTCCTCCCTGTGGCTTCCTCTCACATATTTATAACTGGCTATCATATCTCCTCTCATCCTTCTCTCCTTCAGGCTAAACATGCCCAGCTCCTTAAGCCGCTCCTCATAGGGCTTGTTCTCCAGACCGTTGATCTGCTCCCTCCTCCCTGTGGCTTCATTTACATGGCTATCATATCTCCTCTCAGCCTTCTCTTCTTCAGGCTAAACATGCCCAGCTCCTTAAGCCACTCCTCATAGGGCTTGTTCTCCAGACCCTTGATCATTTTTAGTCGCCCTCCTCTGGACACATTCCAGCTTGTCAATATCTCTCTTGAATTGTGGTGCCCAGAATTGGACACAATATTCCAGGTGTGGTCTAACCAAAGCGGAATAGAGCATGGGGAGCATGACTCCCTTAGATCTAGACACTATGCTCCTCTTGATGCAGGACAAAATCCCATGGGCTTTTTTTGCCGCCACATCACATTCCTGGCTCATTGGTCTGTGGGATGTAGATTGGTGAACATCCAAACCTGTTGCCCTCACACTACATATTTATTATTGTTGTATGACAGTGTTCCCTCGCTTATCAAGGGTGTTCCGTTCCAGGACCACCCACAATAAGTGGAAATCCACAACGCCTCAGGCCTGGCCCACGCACCAGCCTCCCTTTCTGAGGCTTGTTGCCCGCCATGCGGAGCCACTCGCCATCCACCGCCGTGTAAACAAATTATTTGTTTATTTATTTATTTATTTGCCGTGTCATCAGCAACCAGACATTTGTATTAAATTTTTAACAAAGACAAACAAAACACAGAATTTGCAAGCTTGGTAGTTGATTAAATGTCCTTTGACCAGTGTCTGGCCACTTGGAGTGCCTCTGGTGTTGCTTCAAGAAGGTCCTCCCTTGTGCATGTGCATTGCAGCAGGTGGTCAGTGGTTTGCTCTTCTCCACACTCGCATGTCGTGGACTCCACTTTGTGGCCCCATTTCTTGAGGTTGGCTCTGCATCTCGTGGTGCCAGAGCGCAGTCTGTTCAGCGCCTTCCAAGTCGCCCAGTCTTCTGTGTGCCCAGGGGGGAGTCTCTCATTTGGTATCAGCCATGATTGAGGTTCTGGGTTTGAGCCTGCCACTTTTGGACTCTCGCTTGCTGAGGTGTTCCAGCGAGTGTCTCTGTAGATCTTAGAAAACTATTTCTTGATTTAAGTCGTTGACGTGCTGGCTGATACCCAAACAGGGGGTGAGCTGGAGATGCCTCTGCCTTGGTCCTTTCACTATTGGCTGCTACTTCCCGGCGGATGTCAGGTGGTGCAATACCGGCTAAGCAGTGTAATTTCTCCAGTGGTGTAGGGCACAGACACCCCGTGATAATGCGGCATGTCTCATTAAGAGCCACATCCACTGTTTTAGCATGGTGAGATGTGTTCCACACTGGGCATGCAGACTCAGCAGCAGAGTAGCATAGCGCAAGGGCAGATGTCTTCACTGTGTCTGGTTGTGATCCCCAGGTTGTGCCAGTCAGCTTTCGTATGATGTTGTTTCTAGCACCCACTTTTTGTTTGATGTTCAGGCAGTGCTTCTTGTAGGTCAGAACACGGTCCAGAGTGACTCCCAGGTATTTGGGTGCGCTGCAATGCTCCAGTGGGATTCCTTCCCAGGTGATCCTCAGAGCTCGGGATGCTTCTCTGTTCTTGACGGTGAAAAGCACATGTCTGTGTTTTAGATGGATTAGGGATCAGCTGGTTTCCCTGTAATAGGCAGTAAGGGCACCTAGAGCTTCTGTTCAACCATCTCAAAGCTCCCTGCTTGAGCGGTGATGGCACGATCATCAGCATAGATGAAGCTCTCTGTCCCTTCTGGCAGTGGCTGGTCATTTGTGTAGATGTTGAACATGGATGGAGCAAGCACGCTCCCCTGGGGCAGGCCGTTCTTCTGTTTCCGCCATCTGCTTCTCTGGCCCTGGAACTCAACAACAAAGCTCCTGTTCTGTAGCTGATTTCCTTGAGTGGTGACAGCACGATCATCTGCATAGATGAAGCTCTCTGTCCCTTCTGGCCGTGGCTGGTCATTTGTGTAGATGTTGAACATGGATGGGGCAAGCACGCTCCCCTGAGGCAGGCCGTTCTTCTGTTTCCGCCATCTGCTTCTCTGGCCCTGGAACTCAACAAAAAAGCTCCTGTTTTGTAGCTGATTTCCTTGAGCGGTGATGGCACGATCATCAGCATAGATGAAACTCTCTGTCCCTTCTGGCAGTGGCTGGTCATTTGTGTAGATGTTGAACATGGATGGGGCAAGCACGCTCCCCTGAGGCAGGCCGTTCTTTTGTTTCCGCCATCTGCTTCTCTGGCCCTGGAACTCAACAACAAAGCTCCTGTTCTGTAGCTGATTTCCTTGAGTGGTGACAGCACGATCATCTGCATAGATGAAGCTCTCTGTCCCTTCTGGCACGTGGCTGGTCATTTGTGTAGATGTTGAACATGGATGGAGCAAGCACGCTCCCCTGGGGCAGGCCTCAGGGAAGGCCGTGTAAACAATGTAATGTAAATATTTTACATTGATATTTATTTAAAAACCGCGAAACAGCGAATTTGCGAAGTAGCGAGGGAACACGGTATTGTTCCTTCATTATGAAGGCACTCAGAGTGGCTTGCAAAATGTTGTTTGGGGATACAGGTGGAATGAGCATAACAACGAGATCTCTTAAGACTCTGGGGCTCTTTTCATCCCTTCATCCTCGTTGAGTTTGCCCAGACCGCTCGTCCCTCTCCTCCTTCCCTCCTGTGTTTCCTCAGGACCCACGGAAGAATGCCAAGTCCTGGAAGTCACCCATGGGAGCGTCCGTACCAGCTCTTGCCTCCGTCCTCAGCCTTTCGTCTGCCGCTACCCAAAAGGTAGGGCGATTCTCACGGGAACGAGTCCGCGGGTCGGTCAGTGTTACCTTTCAGAGAAGAGTTTTCATCTGGAATGGGTCAAGGATTCCCATCTAGGTTAAACCACCAGCTGCAGAAAAACTTGCCAGCCAGAAGGTTGGCAGTTCGAGCTGTGGGTTGGGGTGAGCTCCCGCCATCAGCCCTAGCTCCTGCCCACCCACCAGTTCCAAAACAGTAATGTGAGTAGAGCAATAGGTATCACTTTGGCGGGAAGGTAAAAATTCACCTGTGTTCGAGATGTGGGTCGGGGTGAGCTCTCGCCGTCAGCCCTAGCTCCTGCCCACCCACCAGTTCACAAAACAGTAATGTGAGTAGAGCAATAGGTATCACTTTGGCGGGAAGGTAAAAATTCACCTGTGTTCGAGATGTGGTCGGGGTGAGCTCCCGCCGTCAGCCCTAGCTCCTGCCCACCCACCAGTTCGAAAACAGTAATGTGAGTAGAGCAATAGGTATCACTTTGGTGGGAAGGTAAAAATTCACCTGTGTTCAAGATGTGGGTCGGGGTGAGCTCCCGCCATCAGCCCTAGCTCCTGCCCACCCACCAGTTCGAAAACAGTAATGTGAGTAGAGCAATAGGTATCACTTTGGTGGGAAGGTAAAAATTCACCTGTGTTCAAGATGTGGGTCGGGGTGAGCTCTCACCATCAGCCCTAGCTCCTGCCCACCCACCAGTTCGAAAACAATAATGTGAGTAGAGCAATAGGTACCACTTTGGCGTGGAGGTAAAAGAAGAAGAGATGCCGGCAATTCGATCAAGAAGATGTCTCCGGACAACAAGCTCCTCAGCATAGAAAATGGAACAATAGCACCTCCCTGTGGCCGGAGTCGAGCACAGCCTCCAGATGCCGGAGATGGGGAAAGATGGGAAAGCCTTTCCCTCTGTTTACATACTGTCTGTCTTTGTTCATTATATAACCACACTAAATATTTGCTGTACATGTGTTCTGAGTCTTCTTGGGGAGATAGAGCATAATATAAATCATGTTTATTATTATTAGAAGCTCTCAAGAGGTTTTGGACATCAGTTCCCAGCATCCTTGACCATTCCGTTGGCTCAAACTTCTGGGGACTGAAGTCCGGTGAGGGCGAGAGGCTGGAAATCCAGCGGCAGACATCAACTTCCAACCTATTGACATCAACATAGCAGAGAGGATGCTAGCATTGCATCTATTTGGCTCTTTGAACCACGGTTTCTGCCCTTTCTTTTCCTTCCCAGAACTTTATTTCTCGCTGAAAGAAATGCAGTCCCGGCCTGTCCCTCCGCTCATTGCGCAGGTCAACACGCAGGCGAACGCAACCATGGTAAGTCTATTGGATTTCATTCGAATCACAGAGTTGGGAGAGACCCAAGGGCTGTCCAGTCCAACCCAATTCTGCCAAGACACCATCAAAGCCCTCCCAACAGATGGCCATCCAGCCTCTGCTGAATAACCTCCAGAGAAGGAGAGTCCATCTCCTGCTGAATGTCTGGTTCAGAATAAGTTAGTACGGTAGTTTCCATCTTGGAGGGAGGAGGGCATGCATAGCTGATCCGCTCTGGGTTTTAGTCCGAACTTTTCTGGTCATATTATTTGAATTTTAGTTATGCAGCCAAGCAAAAGTTCCAAATATTGGAAGCACTATTATTATTGTTGTTGTTAAGTATATATATTGTAAAGCCTTGCTTATTTTCAATGAGTATATTTGGATTCTGTAAGCTGGGGATTCAACTACAACTACACCGTGTAATGAATGCACTTTCATGTGGTGTCAAAGTTGGAGGTTGTAAATGTAACTAAATAGAAGCTTCACCACTGTTTCTGAACCAAAATATACCCTGCAATATAATCATGTATCACTCAGATTTGTGTAACAACTAACAGTAAAGTTAAACACAGCAACAATATATACAATAGTTTCTCTGAATTCTTACAAAGAACAGAGGGAATAAACAGTCCTTTTGAAACAGTCTTTAAAATATGCTTCATGCCTTAGAAATAATCAGGCTTCGTAGAGTTGGCAGGCATTTCCTTCCTGGCTGTTTCCAGTCAGCACTCTCTTCACTCTCTGAGGCAGTTAAAACCATTTGTCTCAGCAACAAGCTAGAGACAGCAGCCAATCAAAATTCTGGGAATAAACAGTCCTTTTCAGTCTTTAAAATATGCTCCATGCCTTAGAAATAATCAGGCTTCGTAGAGTTGGCAGGCATTTCCTTCCTGGCTGTTTCCAGTCAGCACTCTCTTCACTCTCTGAGGCAGTTAAAACCATTTGTCTCAGCAACAAGCTAGAGACAGCAGCCAATCAAAATTCTGGGAATAAACAGTCCTTTTCAGTCTTTAAAATATGCTCCATGCCTTAGAAATGATCAGGCTTCGTAGAGTTGGCAGCCATTTCCTTCCTGGCTGTTTCCAGTCAGCGCTCTCTTCACTCTCCGAGTTGAAAGTGGTAGTTAAAACCATTTGTCTCAGCAGCAAGCTAGAGAAAGTAGCTAAATCACAATTCTAGCTCCTGGCACGCTCAGCCAATCAGCTACTGACACAGGCTTTTCCAGTCAACCCACTACATCATGGTGCCCTTTTACAAATCCTCAGAATCCTGGGGTTTGTAGTTTGTGGAGACACTAGCAAGCTCTGGAAGAGAAGGCTGAAGACCTTGCAAACGACAACTTCTATAGTTCCATAGCAGTTAAAGTGGCGTCAAACCGCATTAATTTGACTGTGTAGATGCATCCTAGGGCTTGTAGTGTATTGTTACCCACCTTGAGTCCAATTGGTGGGAGAAAGGGAAGATAATGATGAGTAGAATTAATGAAAACGGGGCTTCTTTCTGGTACAGATCCCTGCCAATGTTTTCCAAGCTGACGTCCAAGGCCTGAATGCTTCGGCCGCGGCCAGAGTCCTCGGGGCGGTGGAGAAGGTCCTGTCGGGCACGGAGCTACCTCCTCTGGATGCAGGCGGCCTCCTGGGGGTCTTCCAGGTGCTGAAGGAGGTCTCAGTCACCTCGGTGGAAGCGGAGGAGCCGGAAGAGCTGGAGACTCTGGGGCAGCACTACGTGAACGTTGCCGGGATCATCCTGGGGGAAGAGAACGCCAAGGAATGGTCTGAGATCAAACCGGTACTGGACCTTAGTGTCAAGATAGAGGGCTGTGAGGTCATCTAGTCCAATTTCCACTCGTAGAGTTGGCAGCCATTTCCTTCCTGGCTGTTTCCAGTCAGCGCTCTCCTCACTCTCCAAGGTGAAAGTGGCAGTTAAAACCATTTGTCTCAGCAGCAAGCTAGAAACAGTAGCCAGTCACAATTCTGGCTCCTGGCATGCTCTGCCAATCAGCTGCTGACACATGCCTTTCATGATGCCTTTTTACAAACCTCACAGAATCCTGGGGTTTGCAGTTTGTGGAGACACCAGCACACTTTGGAAGAGAAGGCTGAAGACCTTGCAAAACTACAACTTCTATAACTCCATAGCTGTTAAAGTGGCGCCAAATCGCATTATTATATAGCGTCAAGAAAGGGGGCTGTGAAGTCATCTAGTCCAACTTCCACTCATAGAGTTGGCAGCCATTTCCTTCCTGGCTGTTTCCAGTCAGCACTCTCTTCACTCTCCAAGGTGAAAGTGGCAGTTAAGGGGGTTGTGAGGTCATCTAGTCCAACTTCCACTTGGTACAGGGAATCCAGGATATTTTCAGGTGCTGTGGACCATGGTATCCTTCTTGGACGTCTCACAGGAACGGAGCTTGGAGGGACTGATCTGCAGTGGCTCCAGTCCTTCCTGGAGGATTGATCTCAGAAGGTGTTGCTGGGGGACTCCTGCTCGGCCCCACAGCCTTTGTCCTGTGGGGTCCTGCAGGGCTCAGTATTGCCCCCCCCCCCATGTTGTTTAACATCTACATGAAGCCGTTGGTTGAGATCATCCGGAGTTTTGGAGTTCGATGCCACCTGTACGCAGATGAYGTCCAACTCTATCACTCCTTTCCACCAGATGCCAAGGAGGCTGTCCAAGTCCTGAACCAGTGCTTGGCAGCCATGACGGTCCGGATGAGGGCAACAAATTGAAATTGAATCCCAACAAGACAGAGGTCCTCCTGGTCAGTCATAAGACTGAACAGGGTATAGGGTTACAGCCTGTGCTGGACGGGGTYACACTCCCCATTAATTAATTAATTAATTAATTAATTGATTAAKATATTTGTACCCCGCCCTTCTCCACCCCTGGGAGTGGGGAAGACTCAGGGCAGGTTCCAGTTGGCAACAATTTGATGCCTCCAATAAATAAAATACATAATCTAATTTCACTGGGGAGTGAATTCCACAGGCGGGGGGGGGCACCACCGAGAAGGCCCTGTCCCTTGTCCCTGCCAAGCGCGTTTGTGACAGAGGTGGGACTGAGAGCAGGGCCTCCCCAGAAGATCTTAAACTCCGAGGTGGGACGTAGAAGGAAATATGTTCGGACAAGTAAGCTGGGCCAGTATCTCTTTAAGGCATAGGTTCGGAGTTTGGGAGTCCTCCTAGATTCATCACTGAGCCTGGAATTCCAGGTTACAGTAGTGGCCAGGGGAGCTTTCGCACAATGACAACTTGTGTGCCAGTTGTGCCCATACCTTGAGATGGCTTCTCAAGTAGCCATGGTGGTCCACACTCTTGTTACATCTCAAATAGACTACTGCAATGCATCTATGTGGGGCTGCCGTTGAATACTTTTCTGAAGCTTAAGATGGTCCAATGGGCGGCAGCCAGATTGCTCACCGGAGCAGCATTCGGGGAGCACATAACCCCCCTGCTATGTCAGCCCCATTGACTGCCAGTTTGCTACCGAGCACAACTCAAAGTGTTTGCTTTAGTCTCGTATACAACCATAAACGGTTCCGGTCCAGCTTACGTATCCAAACGAACCAATTAGAGAGTTAAGATCTGTCGGGAAGGCCCTGCTCTCAGTCGCACCCTCTTCTCAGGCACGATTGGTGGGGACGAGGGACAGCGCCTTCTCAGTGGTGGCCCCTCAGCTATGGAACCCCTTCCCCAGTGATATTAGATCAATGTGCTCTATTTAAACCTTTGTATTTGTAACATGGCATGGAAATTTGCCAAACTGTAAGGCGCTCTGAGCCCCCCTCCCTTGGGGCGAGAGAGAACGGGGCAGAAATACAGTAAACAAACAAACTGGGTGAGGACGGATCCTGGAAACGTAGATTATGATTATGATGCAGGAGGTTGGGCATGTATTTTTTAAAAGGGGAGGCATGCCTGCTGCTTCGTCTTCATTTAGTCACTCGTGCGCTTTTCTAGATCATCGGCGGACCCATGGCGGTGGTTGAAAACGTGGACAAGATGGCTTCCGCCTTCCACCAGCTCCTGAGCACAGAGAGGCCAAAGGTCACCTTCCAGAATAATAACATGGGTGAGTTCATAGAATCCTAGCGTTGGAAGAGACTCCGAAGGCCATCCAGTCCAACCAGTCATGAAAGAACACACAAGCAAAGCACTCCCGGCGGATGGCCATCTAGCCTAGGAGATGCTAAACAAGTTTAGGTGGAGATCCTTTTTCGTGCAATTGGATTGCGTCGCTCCATTGTGTTCTAGAGCAGCAGAAAACAAGGCCTTCAATGGGACATCCTTTCCAAATCTTTGACCATTCTCTGGACACCTTCCATCTTGTCCATTCTGGAATGGCTTCTCCAGGGCCTGACCAAAGCAGAAGAGAGTGCGACTAGGACTTCCCTCGACCGTAGACACCTCCTGGTTGTGTGGCCAGCATGACTGTTTGCCTCTCCGCCAAGGTGGTACCTATTGGTCTACTCACATTTGCATGTTTTTGAACTGCTAGGTTGGCAGGAGCTGGAGCTCACCCCGAACCCACAGATTCAAACTGCCAACCTTCCCTTGATGCAAATGAGAATTGCCCTTTTTTCGCTGCCACATCACACTGTTTTGACTCATGTTCAGCTTGTGCTCTTGTAAGACTCCTAGGTCTCTCTCACATGGACTGCTTTCAAAGCCAGGCGTGACCCAACCTATCTCTAGATCCTCCAGTGTAACTCGAGGTCCAACTTCTGCTGAAAGTTGACCATGCAGGACGGGGCGGTCTCCTTTCTGCAGGAGTCTGGTAACCCTGACTCCAATGAATGTGGAGGTCTGACAGTCATCCCTACACATTCTTAAATGTTTTGGAAGCTGCCTTGCATCTACTCTATACCGAAACGCACCCATCGCTTCCATGTCCGCAGGTGTAGAAGTCCGGCGCATGGAGCTTGGCACGCCGGCTGCGTATGTGATGCCGAACCAGCGCCAAGAGGCACCTGATTGGATTGAGGTTCCAATAGAGGAAATGGAGAGGCTGAGAGGAAGAGGTAAGTGGTTGCGCCCAGGACACAAATCAATATAAATCAATATAATAACAATAATAATACTTTGCATATGTTTTAATGGATTTTAACTTATTTTTGAAACATACTGTTTATGTTTAATCCTGCCTTAATATTTGCACATTGGTCTATTATTATTATTATTATTATTATTATTATTAAAAATACTCTCTGTTTAATCCTGCTTTAATGCTAGCATATTGGCCTATCATTATTATATGATGTAATATTTTTAAAAACGTACTACTTATGCTTAATCCTGCTTCAGTGTTTGCATATTGGTCTATTATTACATATTATTATTATTATTATTTAAACCATACTATTTATGTTTAATCCTGCTTTAAAGTTTGCATATTGGTCTATTATTATTACATTATATATTTATTATTATTATTATTATTATTATTATTATTATTATTATTATTATTAGAAACATACTATTTATGTTTAATCCTGCTTCAGTGTTTGCATAATGGTCTATTATTGCATTATATTATTATTATTATTATTATTATTTATTTATTTTTAAAAACATACTATTTATGCTTAATCCTGCTTTAAAGTTTAAATATTGGTCTATTATTATTACATTATATATTTATTATTATTATTATTATTATTATTATTATTATTAGAAACATACTATTTATGTTTAATCCTGCTTCAGTGTTTGCATAATGGTCTATTATTGCATTATATTATTATTATTATTATTATTATTATTATTATTTATTTTTAAAAACATACTATTTATGCTTAATCCTGCTTTAAAGTTTAAATATTGGTCTATTATTATTACATTATATATTTATTATTATTATTATTATTATTATTATTAGAAACATACTATTTATGTTTAATCCTGCTTCAGTGTTTGCATAATGGTCTATTATTGCATTTTATTATTATTATTATTATTATTATTATTATTTTTAAAAACATACTATGCTTAATCCTGCTTTAATGTTTGCATATTGGTCTATTATTGCATTATATTATTATATTTACTATTATTATTATTTAAAACATACTATTTATATTTAATCCTGCTTCAATGTTTGCATATTGGTCTATTATTATTACATTATATTATTATTATATTTATTATTATATTTATTATTATATTTATTATTATTATTAAAAAGATACTATTATTATTATTATTATTATTATTATTATTAGAAACATACTATTTATGTTTAATCCTGCTTTACTGTTTGCATATTGGTGTATTATTATTACATTATATTATTATATTTATTATTATTATTATTATTATTTAAAACATACTATTTATGTTTAATCCTGCTCTTACGTTTGCATATTGGTCTATTGCTACATTATTATTACTATATTATTTTATTATATTTATTATTATTATTGGGTTGTACATTTTTTCAGGCTATACTGTTTGCTTATCGTTGAAAATTACCTAGGGCCGCCTCTGTCTAGAGTCATTCTCTCCTGACGTTTCGCCTGCATCTATGGCAAGCATCCTCAGAGGTAGTGAGGTCTGCTATGTTGCATCGTTGTTGATTCTTTTCTCCCCTTTCCACAGATCCGCGCTTACGTCGGAGCCTTAATCCTGCTTCAATGTTTGCATATCGGTCTATTATTATATTATTATTACATTATTATGATTATTATGATTATATAAAACATACTATTTATGTTTAATCCTGCTTCAATGTTTGCATATTGGTCTATTATTATATTATTATTACATTATTATGATTATTATGATTATATAAAACATACTATTTGTGTTTAATCCTGCTTCAATGTTTGCATATTGGTCTATTATTATTATATTTATTACATTATTATGATTATGATTATTATGTAAAACATACTATTTATGTTTAATCCTGCTTCAATGTTTGCATATCGGTCTATTATTATATTATTATTACATTATTATGATTATTATGATTATATAAAACATACTATTTATGTTTAATCCTGCTTCAATGTTTGCATATCGGTCTATTATTATTATATTATTACATTATTATGATTATTATGATTATGATTATTATGTAAAACATACTATTTATGTTTAATCCTGCTTCAATGTTTGCATATCGGTCTATTATTATATTATTATTACATTATTATGATTATTATGATTATATAAAACATACTATTTATGTTTAATCCTGCTTCAATGTTTGCATATCGGTCTATTATTATTATATTATTACATTATTATGATTATTATGATTATATAAAACATACTATTTATGTTTAATCCTGCTTCAATGTTTGCATATCAGTCTATTATTATTATATTATTACATTATTATGATTATTATGATTATGATTATTATGTAAAACATACTATTTATGTTTAATCCTGCTTCAATGTTTGCATATCGGTCTATTATTATATTATTATTACATTATTATGATTATTATGATTATATAAAACATACTATTTATGTTTAATCCTGCTTCAATGTTTGCATATCGGTCTATTATTATTATATTATTACATTATTATGATTATTATGATTATATAAAACATACTATTTATGTTTAATCCTGCTTCAATGTTTGCATATCAGTCTATTATTATTATATTATTACATTATTATGATTATTATGATTATGTAAAACATACTATTTATGTTTAATCCTGCTTCAATGTTTGCATATCAGTCTATTATTATTATATTATTACATTATTATGATTATTATGATTATGTAAAACATACTATTTATGTTTAATCCTGCTTTAATGTTTGCATATCGGTCTATTATTATTATATTATATTATATTATATTATAATATTTATTATTATATACAATGAATAATAATAATAATAATAATAATAATAATATGCTTTGCTTGATGACATTGGAAGGAACAGGCTATGTTTGCATATTGGTCTATTATTATTATATTATATTATATTATATTATAATATTTATTATTATATACAATGAATAATAATAATAATAATAATATGCTTTGCTTGATGACATTGGAAGGAACAGGCTATGTTTGCATATTGGTCTATTATTATAATACTATATTATAATATTTATTATTATTATATACAATGAATAATACTGATAATATACTTTGCTTGATGACATTGGAAGGAACAGGCTGATTTTGAATGCAAAGAGCACTGGTTCAGACATATAGTAGTCAAGGCAGGACCCTGGGAATGGAGAAGGGTTGCATTGGATGACCTTGTGGTTTCCAATGTCCAGTCCAGACACATTGTCTTTGTAACAGTTCCAAGTGGAGGTTAATGACCTGCAATGGCCTCTTGTGTTTGAGGAGGAACCTCCTGCTTTGATTCTTTCCTCAGGCCTGAAGCACATCACCCTCACCAACACCTGGTACAGGTACGGGTCTCTGCAGCGCCTTCTGAGTGGCGCCGGTGCCGTGTTCGAGGATGCCGCTGTGTCGGATGGAGGACGGAGGTAAAACAACAACAACAACACCTAAGAGTGTCCCTAAAGTGGGAGAGGAATCAGAGTTGGGTTGTTTATTGGATGCACCAAAGTCATGGTCCAACTTCAGCCCTCCTTCCAGGTGTTTTGGACTCCAACTCCCACAATTCCTAACAGCCGGTAGGCTGTTAGGAATTGTGGGAGTTGGAGTCCAAAACACCTGGAAGGAGGGCTGAAGTTGGACCATGCCTGGACCACACTTTGGTGCATCCAATAAACAACCCAGTGTAGTTTCCTTATCTGGACACTAGGTAGCGGTGGTGCATTTCAGATGAGCATGTCCAAGCAATGTCTTGCATTCATGTCCATATCTATCACTTGCAGAGCTAAGACCCCAGGGATCGAATCCCCCCCTTGAGACACCCATAGAATTTTACGCAAATCCCACAGAGAGTGGATTAAACACCTTGCTGCTTGCTTGTTCCTGCCCAGGTACGTCAGCACCCAGGTGGGCTCCTCCATCATCTCCTCCACGCTGGTCAGCGATTACGAGGAAATCAGCACCTCTGTGCATTACAGTCTCCATCACCAGGCCCAGGTAAGGCTTGGTCTTCAGCCCCGAACATTCAAGGAAATATCCCCAGTGTGCAAAAACTCGGTTCCGCGCTATCGATAAGTTGTTTACTAGCTGGAATAAATACATGAAGTGGGTTCATTGCCATACTCTTCTCGGTAATTCCCCAACTCTCTTTTTGACTCATTCCCATCTCCAGGCTCTTCCAGACCAGCTTGTTGTTCCCGTCTGCGCTTTCTGGAACTTCAGCAGAAGGTGAGCCGTCAGAGCAAAATAAACCAAGTATGTACAGAATAGGTACATATAGTATGGGATATAGTATGGGATATAGCAGGCATGGGCAAACTTTGGCGCTTCAGGTGTTTTGGACTTCAACACCCACAACGTGGGTATGCAGATGACCCCTTGATTGACTCAAGTATCCAGCTCCAAGAGGACAAAGGCATGGGCCAACTTGGGCCCTCCCTCCAGGTATTTTGGACTCCCACAACGTGGGTATGAAGATGACCCCTTGATGGACTGGAGTGTCCAGTTCCAATAGGACCAAAGCATGGGCCAACTTTGACCCTACCTCCAGGTGTTTTGGACTCCAACTCCCACAACATGGGTAGGCAGATGATCCCTTGACTGACTGACATGTCCAGTTCCAAGAGGACAGAGGCATGGGCCAACTTGGTCCCTTCCTCAAGATGTTTTGGACTTTAGCCCCCATAACGTGGGTATGCAGATGATCCCTTGATTGACTAAGGTGTCCAGTTACAAGAGGACAAAGACATGGGCCAACTTGGGCCCTCTCTCCATGTGTTTTGGACTCCAACTCCCACAACGTGGGTATGCAGATGGTCCCTTGATGGACTGAAGTGTCCAGTTCCAAGAGGACAAAGGCATGGGCCAACTTGGGCCCTCCTTCCAGGTATTTTGGACTTCAGATCCAAGAGGACAAAGGCATGGGCCAACTTGGGCCCTCCTTCCAGGTATTTTGGACTTCAGATCCCATAACATGGGTATGCAGATGATCCTTTGATAGACTGAGGTGTCCAGTTCCAAGAGGACAAAGGCCTGGGCCAACTTGGGCCCTCCCTCCAAGTGTTTTGGACTTCAGATCCCACAACGTGGGTTTGCAGATGATCCCTTGACTGGCCGAAGAGGACAAAGGCATGGGCCAACCTGGGCCCTTCCTCAAGATGTTTTGGACTTTAGCCCCCATAACATGGGTATGCAGATGATCCCTTGATAGTATGAAGTGTCCAGTTCCAAGAGGAGAAAGGCATGGGCCAACTTGGGCCCTCCCTCCAGGTGTTTTGGACTCCATCTCCCACAACGTGGGTATGCAGATGATCCCTTGATTGACTGACATGTCCAGTCCCAAGAGGACCAAGGCATGGGCCAACTTGGGCCCTCCCTCCAGGTATTTTGGACTCCAACTTCCACAACATGGGTAGGCAGATGCTCCCTTGATGGACTGGAAGTGTCCAGTTCCAAGAAGACAAAGGCATGTTTGGTTATCTTGATGGTAACCTTCACAACCTTAGTATTTGCTATCAACTTGGCTTCATCTAAGTGTAGCCTTTAGTGATGTTGGTTCAATGAGAATGACACAACCCCAAAGTGGTCACTTTTGAGTCTTTGGCATTTTCCGGGCAGATTTCTCACCCTTGTTGAGCCCGTAAGTCACCCGAGTGTCAAGGCCCGACGGACAGCCCAGCGCTGTGTTTGTTCTTGCCCTCCTTCCAGGCTCTTAACGGGAGTGCTGGCCTTGCCGGGGTCTCTTTGGCCGAGTGATTTGACAGCCACTGACCTTTGGTGGAACTCTTCCCCCACCAACCCTTGAGTTATATCTCCGGGCCGAGACATAGGAGWTGCGTTTGGAAAATTACAACGGGGAGGAATGCGAGTTGTCTCTCTCCGGCCGTAAATATTTCCCGAAGCTCATGTCAGGTCTCGAAAGCCCATCTTGAATCTCTCTCTAWAAGAGCCAAAAGGATGCTTGTTTATGTCCTTCTAGGCCAGGCATGGGCCAACTTGGGCCCTCCCTCCAGGTGTTTTGGACTGCAACTCCCACAATTCCTAACAGCCGGTAGGCTGTTAGGAATTGTGGGAGTTGAAGTCTAAAACACCTGGAGGGAGGGCCCAAGTTGGCCCATGCCTCCTGCATGGGATTGAACCAAACTTGGCACACACAACTCCTGTGACCAACAGAAAATACTGGAAGGGTTTTGTAGGCATTGACCTTGAGTTTGGGAATTGTAGTTGCTGGGATGTATAGTTCACCTACAACCAAAGAGCAATCTGAACTCCACCCACAATGGGATTGAACCAAACTTGGCACACACAACTCCCGTGACTAACAGAAAATACTGGAAGGGTTTTGTAGGCATTGACCTTGAGTTTGGGAGTTGTAGTTGCTGGGATTCATAGTTCACCTACAATCAAAGAGCATTCTGAACTCCACCCATAATGAGATTGAACCAAACTTGGAACACAGAACTCCTGTGACCAACAGAAAATACTGGAAGGATTTTGTGGGCATTGACCTGGAGTTTGGGACTTGTAGTTCACCTACATCCGGAGAGCACTGTGAATTCAAACAATTATGAAGCTGGACCAAACTTGCCTCAGATACTCAATATGCACAAATGTGAACACTGGTGGAGTTTGGGGGGGGGGGGGAGGCCTTGTCACTTGGGAGTTGTAGTTGCTGGGATGTATAGTTCACCTACAACCAAAGAGCATTCTGAACCACACCAATGAAATGGGTCAAACTTCCCACACAAAACCCTCATGACCAACACAAAATACTGTGTTTTCTGATGGCCTTTGGCGACCCCTCTGACATCCCCTTGTGACCTCTCCAGGGGTCCCGACCCCCAGGTTGAGAAACACTGGGTTAAAGGTGTGTGTTTTTTCTCTTTGTCTTCCTCCTTTCCACGCTTTTTCTAGTCCGGAAGGAGTCGGAAGTTGGTCCACCGCCGGCTGCTCTGTGGTCAATTCCCACCCGGAATTCACCGCCTGTTCCTGCAACCACACCACCAACTTTGCGGTGCTGCTCCAGGTGTTTGAGGTCCAGGTATGGGGCAGGACGTGGAAGGGCCAACAATGGGAAAGAGGCATTAGTTTGGCATGTCATCATCCCTTCCATTCCCGGTCATCTCCCACCTGCACATTCTTCCTCCTAACCTAGTGTAATGCCACGTAAGGCACAAGTTTGATATTGCATAATAATAATAATAATAATAATAATAATAATAATAATAATAATAATGGGTTGTTGTAGGTTTTTCCGGGCTGTATGGCCATCTTCTAGAGGCATTCTCTCCTGACATTTCTCCTGCATCTATGGCAGGCATCCTCAGAGGTAGTGAGGTCTGTTGGAACTAGGAAAAAGGGTTTATATACCTGTGGAATGACCAGGGTGGGACAAAGGACTCTTGTCTGCTGGAGCTAGGTGTGAATGTTTCAACTGACCACCTTGATTAGCATTTGAATGCCTGGCCATGTTCTAGAGGCATTCTCCCCTGACGTTTCGCCTGCATCTATGGCAAGAATCACTGGGTTGTTGTAGGTTTTTTCGGGCTATATGGCCATGTTCTAGAGGCATTCTCCCCTGACGTTTCGCCTGCATCTATGGCAAGAATCACTGGGTTGTTGTAGGTTTTTGAACTGAGGAAAAAGGGTTTATATATCTGTGGAATGACCAGGTGGGACAAAGTCTGCTGGAGCTAGGTGTGAATGTTTCAGGCGGCATTGGCAGGGCGCTAGGACAGGGATGGCGGCTGGCAAGCCGCGTAGGGGCGCTGGGCGTCTTTTGTATGCTGGCCGGGCCGATAGCGGAGCCCGCCAGGACGCTGAGTGACGGTGGGGCTGCAGCGAGGTGGGAATAGGCGGCGAGGCTGCCTTTGCCCGCTAGCAGCAAAAAAAACACCAGCTGATTTAAGCAACTGGATGCCGACCTTTCCAGTAGCCTGGGGCAATCTTTTGACTTGAAGAGGCGACTAGATGTCACCAGCGTTGTTCCGGTCTCTGTAGTTTTGCCCTCTAGAACGTGACAATATAGCCCGAAAAAAAACTCACAAGAACTGAGAGATTCCGGCATGATGAAACCTCGCTGACTAACAACAACAACCACAAAATAATAATAATACTGCCAGCTACACCTTACTGGGATCTGCACATTATTTGCCGTCGGGGATACATCACACAGTCCTAAACACTTGGGAAGTGTCCAACGTGTGATCCAATACAACAGCCAGCAGAGTGTCTGCTGTAGACTCTTCTTGTTGTGTAATAATAATAATAATAATAATAATAATAATAATAATATAATCACACAGTCCTAGACACTTGGGAAGTGTCTGACATGTGATCCAATACAAAAGCCAGTAGAGTGTCTGCTGTGGACTCATCTTGTTGTGTTTCTAATAATAATAATAATAATAATAATAATAATAATAATAATAACAATAATAATAACAATAATAATATATCACACAGTCCTAGACACTTGGGAAGTGTCTGACATGTGATCCAATACAAAAGCCAGTAGAGTGTCTGCTGTGGACTCATCTTGTTGTGTTTCTAATAATAATAATAATAATAATAATAATAATAATAATAATAACAATAATAATAACAATAATAATATATCACACAGTCCTAGACACTTGGGAAGTGTCTGACATGTGATCCAATACAAAAGCCAGTAGAGTGTCTGCTGTGGACTCATCTTGTTGTGTTTCTAATAATAATAATAATAATAATAATAATAATAATAATATACCACACAGTCCTAGACACTTGGGAAGTGTCCTATGTGTGATCCAATACAACAATCAGCAGAGTGATCTTGTCTGCTGTGGACTCATCTTGTTGTGTTTCAAATAATAATAATAACAACAACAATAATAATACATCACACAGTCCTAGACACTTGGGAAGTGTCCTATGTGTGATCCAATACAACAATCAGCAGAGTGATCTTGTCTGCTGTGGACTCATCTTGTTGTGTTTCTAATAATAATAATAATAATAATAATAATAATAATAATAATAACAATAATAATAACAATAATAATATATCACACAGTCCTAGACACTTGGGAAGTGTCTGACATGTGATCCAATACAAAAGCCAGTAGAGTGTCTGCTGTGGACTCAACTTGTTGTGTTTCTAATAATAACAATAATAATAATAACAATAATAATATATCACACAGTCCTAGACACTTGGGAAGGGTCCAACATGTGATCCAATACAAAAGCCAGTAGAGTGTCTGCTGTGGACTCAACTTGTTGTGTTTCTAATAATAATAATAATAACAACAACAATAATAATATATCACACAGTCCTAGACACTTGGGAAGTGTCTGACATGTGATCCAATACAAAAGCCAGTAGAGTGTCTGCTGTGGACTCATCTTGTTGTGTTTCTAATAATAATAATAATAATAATAATAATAATAATAATAATAACAATAATAATAATAACAATAATAATATATCACACAGTCCTAGACACTTGGGTAGCAAAAGAAAGCTCTCCATGGACAGTTCCTGGGGAAAATAGAGAGCAAAATTGACAAAGAAAAAAACAAATAATAATAATAATTAATATTATTATAATAATAAAGTAAAAACATGGCTGTGACTCACAAATGGGACTCTGAAAAAGGAGACAAAGGAGGGCCTGATTCTGGCAGCCCAAGAACAAGCCATTCGAACCAATGCCATCCAAGGCAGAATTGAAAAGTCAATGACAGATCCCAAGTGTAGACTCTGCAAGGAAGCAGATGAAACAATAGATCACATCCTCAGCTGCTGCAAGAAGAGACAGACAGACTACAAGCAGAGGCATAACACCGTTGCTCAGATGATTCATTGGAACTTGTGCCACAAATACCATCTGACTGCCACAAAGAACTGGTGGGATCACAAGCCAGAAAAAGTTACAGAGAATGAACACGTCAAACTCCTCTGGGACTTCCGGATTCAGACAGACAGAGTTTTGGAGCACAATACTCCTGACCTCATGATCGTGTTAAAAAACCAAGTATGAATTATCGATGTTGCAATCCCAGGAGACAGCAGGATTGAAGAGAAACAACTGGAAAAGCTGACACAATATGAGGATTTAAAGATCGAACTGCAAAGACTCTGGCATAAGGCAGTCAAGGTGGTCCCAGTGGTGATCGGCACACTGGGTGCAGTGCCTAAAGACCTTGGCCTGCACTTAAACACAATTGGCGCTGACAAAATTACCATCTGCCAGCTGCAGAAGGCCACCTTACTGGGATCTGCATGCATCATTCACCGACACATCACATAGTCCTTGACACTTGGGAAATGTCAGATGTGTGATCCAATACAACAGCTAGCAGAGTGATCTTGTGTGCTATAGACTCATCTTGTTGTGTTTCAAATAATTTATTTATTTATTTATTTAGCAGTTTTGTATACCGGTCTTCTCACTTCTATCGAGGGACTCAGGCCGGTTTCCAACATCAATATTACAGACAGTCATTAAAAACATCAAAGTCTAAATCACACTAAAACATTAAAACATTAAAATAGCAAAATACAGTCATATAAATTACAATGGTCAGTCGTCATCAAAAAATCGTTGTTCGTCATCATCCACCCATATCACGGGATCGTGTCTCATTCGTCAAATGCCAATTTCCAGAGCCAAGTTTTCACCTGTCTTCTGAACGTCAAGATAGAAGGGGCAGTTCTGATCTCCAGTGGAAGGGAGTTCCAGAGTCGCGGAGCCACCACCGAGAAGGCCCTGTCCTTTGTCCCCACCAGACGTGCTTGTGAGGCCGGTGGAACCGAGAGCAGGGCCCCTCCAGATGATCTTAGCAATCTTGATGGTTCATAGGGGAGGATACGTTCGGATAGGTAAATTGGGTCGGAGTCGTTTAGGGCTAAATAATAATAATAATAATAATAATAATAATAATAATAATGGAATATACTACTACTACTACTACTACTACTAATAATAATAATAATAATAATAGGATATAATACGACTACTCCTACTACTAATGGAATAGAATAATAATAATAATACTATTACTAATAATAATAATAATGGAATATTACAATAATAATGAAATATAATAATAATAGAAAATTATAATAGTAACAAAGGAATATAATAATAATATAACAACAACAACAACAACAATGGAATATACTACTACTACTAATAATAATAATAATAATAATAATAATAGGATAAAATACTCCAACTACTAATGGAATATAATAATAATAATAATAATAATAATAATAATAATAATAATATGATAATAGAAAATAATAATAATAAAAATGATAATAAATATGATGATGATGGCAATAATAATAATAATGAAATATAATAATTCTTCTGTTTCTTTCCTTCTATTTCTTTCCTTCTGTTTCCATGAATCATGGCTTTGGAATGAGAGCGAGAGGCCTCCTGCCTGCCTGCCTTCCTCCCTTGTTTTTCTTTCCTGCGAAGAAGAAGAAGAAACGTGAAACTTTCTGCATTCCTTTGCTGTGAGAAAGGAAGAAAAAAAGAAAGAAAGAAAGGGAAAGAAAGGGAGGAAAAATGGAGGAAAAGATGAAGTGAAATAATAAAAAAATTAAATAATATAATAGTAATTATATATAATTGTATAGTATAATATAATATAATAATATGAAAGATAATGAAATATAATAATATGCGAAAGAAAAAAAAGAAAGAATAAAGAAAAAAAGAAAGAAAAATAGGTCGCTTTGCAAAGTAATGTCTCCCTCACTTTTGGGGATTGAGACCCTGCTTGGGAAATAAAAATCATAATCATAATCCAAGGCGTTGGCCAAATAGGCCACCCTACTCGGACTTGCAGGCATTATTTGCCAATACATCACACAGAGTCTTAGAGACTTGGGAAGGGTCCGACGTGTGATCCAATACAACAGCCAGCATAAGGATCTTGTTTGCTGTGGACTCTAATAATAATAATAATAATAATAATAATAATAATATGATAATATGATAATATAATATAACGTATTCTCCCCTATGAACCATCAAGATTATTAAGATCGTCTGGAGAGGCCCTGCTCTCGGTCCCACTGGCCTCGCAAGCGCGTCTGGTGGGGATAAGGGACAGGGCCTTCTCAGTGGTGGCCCCTCGACTCTGGAACTCTCTCCCACCGGAGATCAGAACTGCCCCATCTATCCTGACATTCAGGAAGCAGGTGAAGACGTGGTTATGGAGACAGGCATTCGATGAATGAGCCAACACCCTGAGATATGGATGGAGGATGATGAACACCGATTTTAGTGGACAACTGACCATTGTATTTATTGAATGTAATTGCTGTTCTAATGTTTTAATGTTTTATTGTAATATGAAGTATGATGTTTTATTGACTGTCTGTGATATTATGGTTGGAAACCGACCTAAGTCCCTCAAGAGAGGTGAGAAGGCCGATATACAAAACTTTTAAATAAATATATATATATAATAGTATGTAATAATAATAATGAATAATATAATAATGTAATATAGTAATTCTAATAATATAATAATATGTTACTAATAATATATAGTAAATAATATAAATTGTTATTATAAAAATATAATAATAATATATAATAGTAATATGGTAATAGGGTAATTATATATATATAGAGAGAGTAATGTGGTAATAATAATAATATAATTATTTTATAATAATATTAAAATTATATATATATATATATATATATATACACACATACATACATATAAGGAGCCCCCGGTGGCACAGTGGGTTAAAGCACTGAGCTGCTGAGCTTGTTGATCGAAAGGTCGCAGGTTCGATCCCGGGGAGCGGCGTGAGCTTCCGCTGTCAGCCCTAGCTTCTGCCAACCTAGCAGTTCGAAAACATGCAAATGTGAGTAGATCAATAGGTACCGCTCCGGCGGGAAGGTAACGGCGCTCCATGCAGCCATGCCGGCCACATGACCTTGGAGGTGTCTATGGACAACGCCGGCTCTTCGGCTTAGAAATGGAGATGAGCACCACACCCCAGAGTCAGACATGACTGGACTTAATGTCAGTGGAAAACCTTTACCTTTACCTTTAATAATAATAATGTATAATATAATAATAATGTAATATAATAATTCTAAGAATATAATAATATGTTACTAAGTAATATAAATTGTTATTATAAAATAATATAATCATAATATATAATAGTAATATGGTAATAGGGTAATTATATATAGAGAGAGAGTAATATGGTAATAATAATAATATAATTATTTTAAAATAATAATAAAATAATATATATATATATAATATAGTAATAATATATAGCAATATGGTAAAATAATTTAATAATTATTACTACTATTATATAATAAAATAATATTATTATTTTAAAATAGTAACATATATAGTAAATTAATATATAGTAATATATTACTATTATTCAATTATATATATAATGTAATTAAATATACAGAAAGAGAGAGAGAGAGAATATCTTTCTTTCTTTCTTTGGAGGAACCTCTCCTGCTCTCTGCTGGAAAGAAAGGTAAAGTCTTTTTTCCCTTTCTTTCTTTCTTTCTTTCTTTCTTTCTTTCTTTCGTTCTTTCTTTCTTTTTTTCCATTTTCATTCTTTCCTCTTTCTTTTATTTATTCTTCTTTCATTTATTCGAATATTTTTATTTTTTTTATTTCATGTTTTATTTTTAAATTTTATGTATTGATCTTTTTTTATCGTTTATTTTATGGCTCATTTTTTATTATATTAAATGCTTTGTTTTTCACTTTATGGATTATTTTAATATTGTTGATTTTTTATATTTTCATGGATTATTTTTAAGAAATCTAAAGTTCTGGCATTTGAGGGGAAAAAATCCCCTTTGCTGTTGGTCAATTGACTCTAGAACAGGTCAGAACTCTAGAACAGACTCCAGAACATGCCACAGGCCATGCAAAATGCAGTGGAGGACTGACACCACATTACATTACCACATCATATGCAGGGGCGGCTCATCCATTACGCGAAGTAAGTGGTTGCAGAACACTTTTTTTCCCAGGGGCGCAGAGGTGCCTCTGTAAATGCCCCTCGACCGCCACTTGAGGAGCGCCCCCTCAGCTCACAACAGCCCTAGCAGTCCGGGGGGAGCCTCGGCTTTCTTGCCTCGCTGCCGGGCGATCCTCTTCCCAAAGGGGCCGGGCCCTTGAGCCTCGCCTAGCCCCTCTCGTTCCTGCTCCACCCGGCCACCAGGTGCGTGAGCAGAGCCGGCGCTCAATCGTTCTCCACGTTCGATCCCTTCCCCATGACCGGCTCCCTTTCCTGATCCCCCGGCGCTCCACCCGCCTCCTCTCCCCAATCCGCGGGTGGGCCAAGGGGCGGAGCCGCCGTGCCTGGCCCGCTTCAGGTCCGAAGGCGTGTCTGAAGACCCCAGCATGCGCACCAAAAGTCGCCTCTTCTCCTGACTTTCTCTTCAGCCATTGGGACCGAGAGAGAGAGAGAGAGAGAGAGAGAGACCCCCTCCGGCTGGAGGTATCTCCCACCTCCGCTCCCTCCTTTGTTTTTGCGCCTACCTTCAGGAAAGGTGGGCATCTCCACCCTCTCTCTCTCTCTCTCTCTCTCTCTTGGTCCCAATGGCTGAGGAGAAAGTCAGGAGAAGAGGTGACTTTTGGTGCACACGCCGGGGTCTTCAGGCACGCCTCCGGACCCAAAGCGGGCCAGGCAAGGGAGCAAGTGCGGCAAGTGTAGTTACTGGGATGTATAGTTCACCTACAATCAAAGAGCATTCTGAACTCCACCAATGATGGAATTGAACCAAATATGGCACACAGAACTCCCACGACGAACAGAAAATATATATCAATGATTGGTTGGGGGGAGGGGCGCCAAAATACTGTTTGCTTACCGTTGAAAATTACCTAGGGCCGCCTCTGATTGTAGGTTAACCATAAATCCCAGAAACTACAACTCCCAAATGAGAAAATCAATCTCCCCCCAACCCCACCAAATTTGGGTATTTGTGCCAAATTTGGTCCAATGAATGAAAATACATCCTGCATATCGGATATTTACATTACGATTCATAACAGTAACAAAATTACAGTTGTGAAGTGGCAATGAACATAATGTTATGGTTGGGGGTCACCACCACATATGGGGAACTGTATTAAGGGGTCGCGGCACTGATCTATGTTGTCTACTTTTTGCAGCGTCCCCAAAAGCGAGCGGACCACTGTGCACAAGAACCTGATCTTTGCCTTGGCGGCTGCAGAAGCTTTGCTCATGTTCAGCGAGTTGGCCAAAACCAACCAGGTAAGCGTGACCTCCAGAGAAGGACAGGCGGGGAAGCGGCAACCCCTCCAGCCCTGACCTCCTCTCGCCCCACCTCGCAGGGAGTGTGCTTCGCCGTCACGGCCTTCCTCCACCTCTTCTTCATGGCGGCTTTTGCCTGGATGCTCGTGGAGGGCCTTCTGCTGTGGAGCAAAGTGGTGGCGGTCAACATGAGCGAGGACCGGAGGATGAAGTTTTACTACATCACCGGATGGGGTTCGTTTCCGAAAAGACTCATCTGCAGAATACTCCCAAGCCAGAGAGAGCGCGAGGTCCCGGATCCGTACCTTTCCTTATTTATTATTTACAGTATTTATATTCGGCCCTTCTCACCCCGCGGGAGACTCAAGACGGATTATAATGTACATATACATGGCAAACATTCAATGTCATAGACACACAGCATATATAGACAGGCACTCAGTGGCTATTTAACTTTCCAGCTTTTCATGAGGGTATTCTGGCCACCAGGGGGAGCTGTCACTTCACCGTCCATTTGTGACACTGATGGAGTACGTCCTCATTCTTTTGCAGGCTTGCTGGAGATTTTTATGGCATCGCAAATTAGTTAAATTAGCCTCCCCATGTAGGAGGTACCTAAATTTCCTACTTGACAGATGCAACTGTCTTTCAGGCTGCAAAAGTTAATACTTGTGTTATTGTGTTATTGTTTTTAAATTGCTTGCATTGTTATTGCTTGCATTGTTGTATTTTGGGCTCGGCCTCATGTAAGCCGCACCGAGTCCCTTGGGGAGATGGTAGCGGGGTATAAA